ATATATATATATATATATAGAAGGTGAAAACAAGTTGTAATATGCCTAACTGCGGGCCATATATACTGCAAAAATGGGAGAAACAAATTCTAGTATGCTCCCTCAATATGGTTTCGTTTCTATCCCATAGATTCTTCGGGGCCATACAAACAAAGCAGCATCTTCCATGGCGAGTCAACTAAACTAACAAACGAAAATATTGCTTTTATACAGCTACAGCCGAGTAAGATTTTAACCAGGTAAAATAAATTCCTACCCCAATCGAAAGAGTGAACCCTTTAAAAACACAATTCTTCAGATAAAATTAGGAGATTCATAGAGAGATATTACTGGTGTTGAGTCCAAACAACTTTGCCGCCCTCAGAGTGCATAAGAATGCTAAAATTTGAGAAGCTATACTGTCCTATTCGTTGCCATGCATGGACGGAACGATCATATGCTGACCCTGCACCACGGGAAAAATAAAAAACAGCATTGTCACAGTCATAGTCGATGTAAAAAGAAAAAAACTAACCTCCTTAAGCTTTCGTCAAAGAAAGGAAAAACACATACTATTTCTTTCCATATTATTCAAGAGGCACATATGAATTCATCAACGAAACAGCATGCATCGAATAGTGCTAAAAGAAACAGCATCGATTGAATTTCGATCTTCGTTTATGGAAGTGCACTGTACTGATTGATTGAAAAAGCCATGTAAAATTAAGCAATGTAGAGATGCATGATTTTGATTATAACAGTTACGGATTCGGGAAACAATTTCAATCTTTTACTTGGCATGACACTTGGTATAGCTAACAGTTTCCAAGAACATTTGCACTAACATAAGCGTGTTTTTGTTTTTTTGTTTCCTGATAAAACATGGAGCATGTTGTTCTTCCAAGACGTATAAAACATGAAAATCATACTTTGTCTATGCATATTTAGGACAAAGGTAACCCCCTGATGATCTTACAAAACATAAAAAGTTGAAACGGCCATAAGGTGACTACAAATTATGTTCCAGATGATTGAAAACGTGACTGAACAAACTTCAGGAGCCATCAGCAAACTTCATGGTGTCCCGCGGATCGCTCACTAGCCATCAGCAAACTCTTTTACATGGAGAGATTTAGATCTCGGAAATGAGTCAATTTCCACACATCATCATCTAGTCTCAACCTGGGTAGGTGCTTAATCAAAAAACAAGATAAATCCTGAAGACAGCAGGTAGAGTACTTTTGTAGACAAAATAACGCAGGTGTATCCTAAAGGGAAGGCGGCCTCCCAATGTTAAATCCTAGGCTGAACGTACATTCAATGGTTTTTTAAGGCAAAACGGATATGCAGATATCCCTGTTCACAGCTTGCTTTTTCTGTACAATCAGGCTTTAGCCTTTAGCTGATATAATTTCCATCAGTTTTCTATAAGATGGAAATGTTTCAGATGATATAGTTCTAAACCCTTCAATGACGAAGGTTCCCAAGTTTTAAAACAGTGGCACACCATTCTACTAAAAGGCCAACAATTTTAACATCAGATATTATTTGGAAAAAAAAGGTATCTACTAATCGATGTAACATGAGCTCCATCTAGGCTAAGAATCCCTAAACAGAATCTGCCACCAAAGAGAACCTCTACTGACATATGGGACATCATCTTAAGTGTGCTCTCATACAATTACTAAGTTCAACGTTCATACAAAGGAACAATCACTTATGCAACATGAACCATCATTGCAAACCTTTTAATGATTAATGGACACTGCTCTCGTATGATTTTTAAACTAATTCACGCTTTTCTTCCACACTGGAATTCTAGTTATAGGTAAACCCTAAAGTAAGATAGTTAGGGAAAGAAGTTTTAGAAAGCCGGTGTAATTGCTCCGAAGTCTCAGGTTGCCTGTATACATCCAATGACTTCCTTGTTTGCATTCTATTTTGATTGCCTCCTTTAGTTAATAACTAGTTGAACTCCACGTGCTTTTGCACGTGGAAGTAATCTGTGTGTTAAGTTTTAATTAACTAATTGTCATGTTATTATTAAAAACATATAAATATAAAATCTCAATGAGGAACCAAAATAAGAAAAAAAAATAAGTTTTAGGGCAAAAGGAACAAAAAAAAGGGAAAAATTTCATGACAAAAAGTAAAAGAAAAAATAAAGTAGGATTAAAATGAAGAAATAAATAAGCTTTAGGGTAAAAAAAAGTTTTAGGGCAAGAAGCAAAGAAACATTGTCAATAAAAAATCAAAAGGGAAAAATGAGTAAATTTTAAGGCACATGGAACCAAAATGAAAATAAAATTTTAGGACAAAAAGAAAAAAATAAAAAAGTTAAAAGGACTAAAATAAAAAAAATTAATAAGTTTTAGGATGAAAAATAAAAACAACCTAAAATAAAAGACTAAAAAAAAAAGTGAAAAAGTTGTACACTTTCAACCAAAACTACGTCGTTTAGGTTAAAAGTGCACAATTCAAAATACGCTTTCTCACTTCAATTAACAATAAATGAGTAATAAACAAAAAAGAAGAGGGGCAAAAAGGAAAGAAAAAGGTTAACAAAGCTTCTCTGAGAAGTTTTCTAAGGCATTTAGTATATACCACGGAAATGACCAAAACGCCCAAACAAAAAACAAAAAACGGTAAAAGCAAAAGTGAGGGCGCGCACACAGAATTTTTCAAAAGTTGAGGGACAAAAAAGACCAGATAGTATATATCACGAAAATGAACAAAACGCCCAAACAAAAAACCAATGAAGAAATAAAAATCTGAGGGCAAAACGGTAAAAGCAAAAGTGAGGGGACACGGAATTTTTCAAAAGTTGAGGGACATAAAAGAATTGACACTGTTCAAAGAACAGTAGGGACAAAAAAGACCGGATAGCATATACCACAGAAATGACCAAAACGCCCAAATAAAAAACAAATGAAGAAATAAGAATCTGAGGGCAAAACGGTAAAAGCAAAAGTGAGGGGACACGGAATTTTTCAAAAGTTGAGGGACATAAAAGAATTGACACTGTTCAAAGAACAGTAGGGACAAAAAAGACCGGATAGCATATACCACAGAAATGACCAAAACGCCCAAATAAAAAACAAATGAAGAAATAAGAATCTGAGGGCAAAACGGTAAAAGCAAAAGTGAGGGGACACGGAATTTTTCAAAAGTTGAGGGACATAAAAGAATTGACACTGTTCAAAGAACAGTAGGGACAAAAAAGACCGGATAGCATATACCACAGAAATGACCAAAACGCCCAAATAAAAAACAAATGAAGAAATAAGAATCTGAGGGCAAAACGGTAAAAGCAAAAGTGAGGGGACACGGAATTTTTCAAAAGTTGAGGGACATAAAAGAATTGACACTGTTCAAAGAACAGTAGGGACAAAAAAGACCGGATAGCATATACCACAGAAATGACCAAAACGCCCAAATAAAAAACAAATGAAGAAATAAGAATCTGAGGGCAAAACGGTAAAAGCAAAAGTGAGGGGACACGGAATTTTTCAAAAGTTGAGGGACATAAAAGAATTGACACTGTTCAAAGAACAGTAGGGACAAAAAAGACCGGATAGCATATACCACAGAAATGACCAAAACGCCCAAATAAAAAACAAATGAAGAAATAAGAATCTGAGGGCAAAACGGTAAAAGCAAAAGTGAGGGGACACGGAATTTTTCAAAAGTTGAGGGACATAAAAGAATTGACACTGTTCAAAGAACAGTAGGGACAAAAAAGACCGGATAGCATATACCACAGAAATGACCAAAACGCCCAAATAAAAAACAAATGAAGAAATAAGAATCTGAGGGCAAAACGGTAAAAGCAAAAGTGAGGGGACACGGAATTTTTTAAAAGTTGAGGGACAAAAAAGAATTGACACTGTTAAGAGAACAGTAAAAAGAGTGCCTCTTAATAATAACAGGAAAGGGTAACCAAATGCACAAGCACAAGCAGGCATGTGCAAACCACAAATTTTCTGAACAATCGGTCAACAAATTATCTAACACTTCCCAACAGGACCCTAGTTTACTGTGTATCTATTAAAAAGAAAAAAAAAAAAAAAAACAAACAAACAAACAGACACCCCTAGTTCAATCAATGCATTTGGTTATGATCCTTTTCCTTGGCACTGCAATGTTCTTTTACCCCACAAAACAGGAGGGAGGAAGAGGGGTGTGTGGGCTGGGGAGAATAAAGATCAAATAAAACAAGAAGGCGTACACTATTTGAAGCTTGATACTATACCATGTGCCTAACAACTATTCACAGAGTCCAACAACTCAAGCCTTTAAAATTGGAAGTTGATATAATATAACTATAAAGGTAATGCATGAGGACTTATAATATGAAAAGGTCGAGCAACGATGTCTTAAAACATGAGCAGAAGTCAGGATTCCTTAAAGAATATTAACAGCACAACTATTTTAGATGGCAAAAATTACAAGAGGAAAATTTTTTTAGAGCAAAGTATGCCTGTCAATGTTTTTAAAAGCGCCTGAGGCTTACGCCTCAAGGCCCGCCTTGTGGCGAGGCGCTGAAAAAACGCCTCCAAGCTTATGCTTTGAGGGTAGGGGAAATGAGGCTTACGCCTCATTCATGTGAGGCCCATGCCTCAGGGCTACGCCTCAAGAGGCGCACGAGGCTAACGCCTCTTACTTTTAGTGTTTTTTTTTTTAGTTCTTTTAACCTAATTGATGTTGGGACCAAACTTTTATGGAAGCCAGAGTTGACTAAGAACCAAAGAAAAATCAGAGAATGGTTGCCTCCTCCCTTCTATTACATTGTTTCTCTCTCTCCTCTCCCTTTTCTTCACTCAGCCAAATAATGATCAACAATTAAATATCTTCGTTTGTTTTTTTTGAAACAAAGATTCAATATCTTAATCATGGATTTAAAAAGGGCCAGAGGCGCACGCCTTTGAGCGGCGCCTAGAGCGGCGCCTCAGGCGGTTAGTGAGGCATCCGCCTCTCTACAAAGGGTCTTTTGGTGGGTCATTTTAACAGGCTGGCCCAAAAGTTTTAAAAAGCCCAAAGTACCCAGGCCAATATCTTCGTTTGTTTTTTTTGAAACAAAGATTCAATATCTTAATCATGGATTTAAAAAGCGCCAGAGGCGCACGCCTTTGAGCGGCGCCTCAGAGCGGCGCCTCAGGCGGTTAGTGAGGCATCCGCCTCTCTACAAAGGGTCTTTTGGTGGGTCATTTTAACAGGCTGGCCCAAAAGTTTTAAAAAGCCCAAAGTACCCAGGCCCTTAATGACTAAGAAAAAACCCTAATAACAAAAGAAGCAGCCAGCCACTTGCACAGCCGTCTTTCCTCCTTCCTGGCACGGGCAAACACTCTTCTTCTTCTCTTAGTAGTGATGATGATTGATGAGTTGGGAGATTAGGCTTTTAGAAGTGCATTATAAACCTTATGATATTAGGATTTGATAATTAGTCTTTTTTACGCTTCTAGTAGTGAAATAGACTTCTCTTTATGTGGATGCTTGGTTAAATTTCTTGTTTTTAATGATTTTTAAGTATGGATTTAGTCTTTGTTAGTATTTTTTTTTTCCTAAATTTTTTATAAGCATTTTTTGAGGCTTACGCCTCAAAGCGCCTTGAGGCTCACGTCTCACCTCGTACAGGCAAAACGCCTCAAGGCCCGATTCCGCCTTTTAAAACCTTGATGCCTGTGACTAGGTGGACTAACACTGATATGATGAGAATATGTAGAACGCAGCAGCTCCTATTTGAAATAAAATTTTGAGCCAGTTTACAAGAATGTGCATGTACAGAGCAGTTCAAAATGACTTGCTACGAGCACCAAAAATTTCAAACTAACTAACTTGGTCTGCTATTGACCAAATAAAACTGGTATATACATTCTTCAAAACAAAGGTATCACTCAAGTAATCGTTCAAAGGAGAAGAATAAATGTTTTGAAGACAAGACATAAAAAATTAAAAATCAATGGCCTCCAAGTGATCTGATGCAGAGAACTAATGACAAGGTCAATATTACATGCACTTTGGGGGGGGGGGGGGGGGGGGGAAAGGAATGAAACAATAATATTATGTGTGCAAACATTAGTGTGTTAATAATTATTTGTGTGTGTGAAAGATAGCAAGACAGAGAGAGAGTAAGGGTTAGAGAGTTACTTGGGAATTTATGTAGCTCAATGATCCTTGATGAACAAACTGCCATAATCATTACCCCAAATAAAGAACGGAAATTTGTAAGTTAAAGGATCTAAGCTCTATTGTAGAACAAAATAAGATGGTATCATGGTATTATTCAAACTATCGACTGAAATAACCATTCTATGGAAGTTTACAAAATCAGACCTGAGGATTTTGACCACCCCCAGAAGCAACGGCATCTCTCTTTGCAGAACTCTCACCACCCCTAGCAGATCCCTTGGTGTCTCCCTGCTCAGAGTTTGCAAACAAAGTCATTCCTTTTTTCTAGAAAGAAACAATGCGAGACCTTTAAAGTTAACATTGGATAATAATATCAATTTGGAAAGAGACTTTTTCTTACCTCCAACTGTCACAACGCAATCGCCCCAAGAAAATCAATGCCAAACAAAAACAGAAGAAACAAAATGTTAGGTTCACAACCCCAATGAAAACAAGTAAATTTGATAAATAGAAAACACACTACAAAGAAAAGTGATAAGATGCTGTTTTAGTCTGCAAACCGGGGGCAAGAAATTAAAGCTAGTTTACATTCCGATTCCCAAATTCCGCTTCCATTGGCCGCCCTCCTCCCAAAAAATTACTTGACTTTATTAAATTAAAATAAGACTTGGAATACTTGAGAAAACAAAAATCATTTTCTTTCCTTTTTGTTTTATTTTTATCCTTCCCCTTTCTTCAGGTGTTCACGTATTAAATTAAATCAACAGCCAACTGGAAACAAAACGAGCGTAAAATACAGTTAGAGATCAAAAATTCATAAATTACCTCCCTGTATCTTGCCAGATATATCTTAAGTGGCTCGATATAGTCCTCAAAGCCCAATGTAGCCATCGCCCACAACAAATCATCGCCATTTATCGTCTTCCTCTTCTCCTTCTGGCACTTGTCGCTAGCCCTAATTTCCAACAAACAGAAACTCATCAATTTCAGGAAAACGAACTCCGAATTACCTAAAAAGAAAACACTACAAATCAAGTTTTAAGAGGGAAAAGAAGGAACGTACTCGCTGGTGATGAAACTGATGAATTCGGAGACGCATTCCTGTACGGTGTCCTTGGCGTCCTTGGCGATCTTGCCATTAGCAGGCAAAGCCTTCTTCATGATACGACTGATGTTTGCGATCGGAAGGTACCGATCCTGCTCGCGCACGCCGCCACCTGCCCCGCCGCCGCTCGCGTGGGGGCTCTGCTCGCCGCCGCTCTCGTGGCTTTCCCCCCCCCGCCTCGCCCGCGGCCCCCCGGACTCGCCGGTGCCTCCGACGCCATGATCTGCATCAGGAAACCCTAGATTTCACATTCTCAATTCCAAACACAAAAATAAAGCCATACACGATATTTACACGAAGCGCGAAGAAAATCAATAGTAGGACATTGTAACCCTAGGACCGCCATTAATGAGCTTGGACGAGAGAGAAAAATGTCGAGAAAGAAACGAAGAAAGAGCGGGTTTTGAGGAGTTGCTTACCTGTAGAAATAGAGAGAGAAAGAGGAGAAGTGGTTCGTGTTTTGTATTTGGCGCGCTAGTGAGAGAGAGAGAGAGGATTGGTTGGAAAGATTTTGAGAAATTGTTTTAAGGGAAATCTGACGCTGGAGAAGAGAATGTAGAAGCTTTTTGGCTTTATGCTTATCAGCACCGTTCGTTCGTTCGTTCGTTCGTTCGTTGTGTTCTTATATTTTGTTTGTTTGGTTTCTCATCTCACTCTCTCTCCCTCTCTCCCTCTTTATAGTAGCACTCTTTAGTACTAGTACCACTATTTTTTTTTATTATCATTTCTCAATTTTTTTAGGATCTTTTTCGGTAAGTCCGTATTGATAAGTTAATTTTTAATCGTTAAATTTAATTAAAATTATATTAATTTAAATATATATAATAGATAATTATATATATATATATTTAATGATTAAAAAGTAAAGAATTATGGTCTCATTTATTTTAACGATTTAAGTTTTATTATAATAAAAAACTCGTAAAACAGTAATATTTAATTTTTTTACTATAATAAAAAATCCACATAAAATCACATCTCAATTTAAATCAACGAACTAAACAGATCATATAATTATTATTTTTTTTCAACTCTACTAGAGAAACTTTCTTTTTGCGAACTTTTATTAATTTTTTCTTTGTTGTTATTCCAATAGTTTAGTTTATGGAATTCCAAGTTATTAGAAATTCTTATGATCTATAATGCATTTACTACCGGTAGTGTAGTAATAGTAGTGTTTCTTTCACGAGAAAAATCAAGGTGATTGCAATCATGTGGGTATCTAATCTAATCTATCTTTTCCTTTTCTCGATTTTTGTTCTTCATTTTTCTAGTGCACATTTAAATCATTAATGACCAAAAAACAATTGGGAGATCGGCAATTCCCAAGGTTGGGTTGGTCAAGTATGGCTAATCCTAACGAGAAAGTCAAATTTAAGTAATGTTACTAATTGGTGAAAGTTTGATTTTGGGCTAATGGACTTATGGCATGTTTATTTACCAGGATTAAAGAATGGGAGTGGAGAATGTGAGCCAATCACATATTTATTTACTCTTTTTTATCCTGAAATGAGAGTGAGATTGGTAGGTCCCACTCAAATTTAGGATTGAGGAATGAGATTGACACTCTCATGCCCCTCCTTAGGATTGAGACTCTCATTCTTAATATTAATATTAAGTTACTATCATACCCTTATTTTACTTATAAATACACAATTAAAAATAAAATTCAAAAAATAATAAATGCAACATATATTTATTATTTTATTTACCTAATATTATAATATTAGTATAATTATTCTTAACTTTAATATAATAAATATGTACTTTATTTTTAAATAAATTAATAATATATTTTATTTTTAACACTATTTTTTATTTATATTTATTTTATTTAAATTTTTTTAAAATTTATTTTTATATTTTAAATAGTTGTACAATTTATATTTATTATTTTAGTACCCAATTATTACACTAAATATTTTAATTATGATTAATTTTAATATAATAAGTACACAATATATTTTTTAAATTAGAAATATCAAATTGATTTTTAAAGGGTATATTAGTATTTTTACACTTTTTTATTCCGATTCTGGGTGTAAGTAAACGTGTGAATGAGATTTAGAATGACTCCGATTCTGAATCCTCTCACTTAAGTAAAAGCTTATTTTGACTCCGATTCTGAATCCTCTCACTTAAGTAAACAGCTTATTTTGACTCCGATTCCTCACTCTGAATCCTACCCACTCCGAATCCTACCAACTTCGATTTATGCTCATTCCGATTACGCGTAGGTAAACATGTCATTAGTTTGGGCTTTACCAATAGGTGCTTCATAATATTCCCCTACTATTGTGATCTGATTTCTTCCAAAATTTAAGCTAAAGTGACATATTTGCATATATGACGCATTATTTAACAAAGCAGGAAGTAGCTAAATCAACAATCCATCTACCATGTGACGCGATACCTATAACATAATTAATCGCAACTGGCAAGTTAGAATTTTCGTATAAAGTAAATTGCTTGGATAAACAACAATGAACTTGTAGGACAAATTAATTTGGACTGTGGATGTTAGTGCTCCAATGTATACCTTCAAGTTGGTTTAGGTGCATTATTTTAGAAAGAGAAAAGATTAATCACAAGAACAGAATCCACTGATTCAGGTTCCCCACCATTTTAGAAAGAAGAAAAATAAAACAGAAATAAACTATAATTTTACACCACACATATGGGTGGTGAAACGCAATTGTAGCATTGGAGAGGTAATGCATTTTCTACCCAAGTTTCGGGTGCGAAAAAAAAAAAGAAGTTTGGCTAGTTCCGGTTGGTTGAGATTTTTTACTCACGTGCTCATTAAATGGTACGGACAACATAAAACCACTCTTCAGCAACACAACTCGCACAACCCGAGGCCAAAACAAAATGCTATTATTGCTATATGTCACAATTCTCACTCTTTATGGTTCTTTATGTATTTATGTTGGTTCCAATTGAAGCATGGAAATGGAAAGTTCAAAAGCTAAAATGTTATCCATCAAGCAGAGAAAAACAAGGTTTGTTAAATGGCTGAATCATCTTGAATGATGTAGTCAGAAAAAATGTTTGCTTTATACACAATTCTTCCGAGTCTGTTTACACCGTCTTGACTATAGAGTTCAGACCAACTTTGTGTCAGAAAGCTACCAAGTACTTCAGCAGTTGGAGGAATTTCCGTGCCTCGTTGGAACCTGTCTCGGCATCAAGGGGAGGCGGAATACGAATACAGTTGCAGGCAGGTCATCTAGTCCTTTGCAAGATAGCTACCCTTACATGCAGCACAAGAAAAGTATGCAACAAACAACAGCCTATTAACCTTTCACACAATGCCACTTACTGAGTATCCTTCCAGGGCTGCTCTTTCCATTACCTCTTTCTGGTCCATAAGATAAAGTCCAAAAACGCTATTGTTAGAGCTGCAGTTGCAGTGAAATGATAAATCTTATTTCGTTATTCACCAGAGAGTTCTGAATTTTCAGCATAATCTGAAGGGCATTAATCAAGTTACCTGGATTGTTTTTGTGATCATCCCAGGGCATTCCTGGTCGTGGTCAGAAATAAAGCAATGTGAAAAGAGAAAACCTATGAGGGCAGCAGCTCAAATCAATAGATTTATTTAAATTTTAAGAAATTCACAAACCTCAAATTGCATATTGTTCCATGATATCTCCTTCCAAGATTTTGAATGAAGTGAATCCCATGAATCTGGAATAGAAATTGTCTCCACGTGCTGAAGAATTCTTAAGCTATCTGCAATCCAATCCATCAAAATCATTCAAAGGAACCTCCTCTAAGCCTACCATCACTCAAAGTATCTCTACTCCATGAATCGACTTGTATTACAGTTACTAACCCCAGTAAAGACACATATGATGTTAACTCATTTCAGGAACAAAGATGGTTAATCATTTAAACAGGGAAAGAAGATAAAAGCTTAAATTTACTTGTGATGAATGCCTCTTCCCAAATCTCATGCTCTGACCATGATGGTGCGACTTCTCGAAAGGGAATGCCTTTGGTTAAGCACACACTGTGTGAATTGTAAAATAATGCCAAATGCAGTTACCTCAACAGATCCTACAAAAGTGGTATTTTCTTTTCTCTTTATTGTGATTAAGAATTTCATGTCAAGTCAATGGCGAAGTTGAATTTGGAGAACACAAACACAGAAACTACAGAACTAAGAAGGGACATACTCGATGACTAGTTGACGTATAATTCCTGGAAGGACGCCATCCCTTAGAGGAGCTGTCTGAACTTCGAAACAATCTTTAATTTCCTTCTCATCTAGGCATTTCCCCCTAGCTTCTCCTTTATCCTGAAAGCACATCGGGTTCAATCAACTCACTACATACCCCATGGAATTGACAGCTTCAGCTTTATCCTGAAAGCATCCTTAATAGTGCATACTACATAGAAAATTAAGCAAGTAGAAGGGCCAGAAATACATACAATTGAAAACCCTTGCTAATAAACTAGCTTAAAGAGAACTTCATACTCTTGAACTCATAGAAGCAGTAACAAACTCAATAGGGTGACGAAAAGTACAAAAGAAAGTATCAAAAGAAACCCAAATGTTAGGTTATCAAATAAAGTTCGAACCTGAAATCATAGAAGCAGTAACAAACTCAATAGGGTGACCAAAAGTACAAAAGAAAGTATCAAAACAAACCCAAATGTTAGGTTATCAAATAAAGTTCGAACTTGAAATCATAGAAGCAGTAACAAGCTCAATAGGGTGACCAAAAGTAGAAAAGAAAGTATCAAAACAAACCCAAATGTTAGGTTATCAAATAAAGTTCGAACTTGAAATCATAGAAGCAGTAACAAGCTCAATAGGGTGACCAAAAGTAGAAAAGAAAGTATCAAAACAAACCCAAATGTTAGGTTATCAAATAAAGTTCAAACTTGAAATCATAGAAGCAGTAACAAGCTCAATAGGGTGACCAAAAGTACAAAAGAAAGTATCAAAACAAACCCAAACGTTAGGTTATCAAATAAAGTTCGAACTTGAAGTCATAGAAGCAGTAACAAGCTCAATAGGGTGACCAAAAGTAGAAAAGTGTCAAAACAAACCCAAATGTTAGGTTATCAAATAAAGTTCGAACTTGAAATCATAGAAGCAGTAACAAGCTCAATAGGGTGACCAAAAGTAGAAAAGTGTCAAAACAAACCCAAATGTTAGGTTATCAAATAAAGTTCAAACTTGAAATCATAGAAGCAGTAACAAACTCAATAGGGTGTCCAAAAGTACAAAAGAAAGTATCAAAACAAACCCAAATGTTAGATAATCAAATAAAGTTTCAATTTGTGGTCAGTTGATAAGCCAATGCAAGCAAGTTGGTTATAGATTTAATCTCTACATGCCGAAAAATATAATTTCATACAAGCCTAATATAATCAGAAAATTCCAAGTCCTGGTTGTGCACCTCGCGACAAACAACAAAGAAGTTCGACACGCTTCCTTCAAGCAACCGGTCACCATCGTTCGACAACAAGAGCTCAGTTGCAGAAGGAGGCCTCAATTTCTCCAGAGGCTTTCTCATCCTGTAAAGAAGAAGAAATCCAAATTTACAAATTACAGAGGGTAAACGCAAAACAGAATTAGGTTCGGCCATTGAAAATGCTCGTTTTCAATTCCAATGGCACTAACCTCACCCAATCGGAATACTTCGCCTCCGCAGCTTCCCTCCGGCGACCAACCACGGCCAAATTCGCACCATTTTCTCGGATGCCAAACACCGTAGGAGCATAAATTCCGACATGGACATAAACATCAAGAACATTACCTGCTCGTTCTCGACCTAAATTCCCAATCTCACTCACTTTCCCCAAACTTCCAGTGACTAAAGCCGTGATCGAAAGTTCCTCACCGTCAGTCCTCTCCTCCATCGCAATTGGCAGAACTTTACTCACCGAATCGTTGACGAGACACCGGAGTTCCAATTCCCAGAAGGATCGCGAGAAATCCGAGGGACGATTGTCTCCGAACAGAAGCTTCGGATGCGAATTCGAGAGAATCCGCACGGAGTCGCAGAGCCTGTTCAAATGCCTCTCCCAGAACAGGAGGCGGGAACCGTTCTCGTGGGAGCGCGTAGTAGTGTACGCGCCTGACGAAACAAAATTGAAAAGAAAAAAGTGAGAGAAAGAAAGAAAAAAAGAAAATCATGCTTTTGTGAGAGAAAATGGAAATCGAAGAAGTTTAGAGAGAGATAGAGAGGCATTTGGGGGTGAAAACCTGGAAGAGTTTCGAGGAAGGTGGTGACAGGAGGAGTATCGGAAGAGTTGAAGAAGACGCCATTGCTGAACAAGAATCTGGAGGTTGACATTAGTCGACTGTTGAGAGCAATTCTGAAGATAGGGCGAGAAGGAGCTTTGTTTCCGAGGTTGAAGAGGAGGGAACCGGCAAAACAAAATTAACAAAAGCATACGATAATGCTTTTAATGATACACGTGTTTATGATAGAAGAGCAGTAATTATTTACTCAAGATAAGTACTAATTAATGATACTAGTTGAGCACGTGAGAATCAAAACTGTTTAGTTTATTGATTTAAAATTTTAATTTGAGTTAAAGATATTATTTTATATAAAAATTTTAGACTGTAGTAAAAATATTAAATGTAATTATTTTTAAAATTTTTTTATTATAATAAATTTAAATCGGTAAAATGAACGATGTTTAAAAATATGTTAATTTATAAGTTCAAATTATGATCTATAATTTATAATTTTAATTTTTAAAATTTAATTTTTTTTGAGAAAAAATAAAACCAAGAATCATAAATCATGTAAAATTTTTAAAATAAACAAACTCTAACTATATAAATTTAATCTGCGTGAAAATACGTATCTATTAATTAGAGTAAAACTCAATTTCAAAAAGAATGGAAGTTGCAGAGCTCAATTGGCAGATTTCGAAAAGAGGGTGAGAGCCGTCAGCATAAGAAGGTGAAAACCCCTAAATGGTATCTTTCAAAAAAAAAAAAAGGAACAAAATAAAACAAAAATTACCTCATCATAAGAAATTATGGATTATAGTTTGAACCCATAAACTAAACGAACTCCTCTTATTCTCTACGTGCTCAACTAAAAGAATAGAAATTATATAGGAGTTTCTCACCAAAAAAAAAAAAAAAAAATTAGAATTATTTTAATTAAAAAAGAGAATGTAGTAAATAAAAGATTTTTAAAATTAAATTAAGTAAATAACATATTTTAAAATTATTTGAAACAAATATCAATTTATGTGATAAATGAATTATTTACCATGTAAATAGTGTATTCAACACATATTTTAGTTTTTCAAAGGTCAGGACGATATTTAGGTTCCTCTTAAAAAACTAAAATTCTCCCCAATTAAAGTGTATTTGTCAAGCATTAAAGATAAAGCATTCTAGACATTTAAACCATAATAGACATTCATATAAGTAAACTTGCATAACCATTAGTAATTAAATATATTTACATATTATAATTTTCAGAACAAAGGCAAAGAGTTTCATAGCGGAATTTTAAAAATTTATTTGATTATCAAAGCCAATTTAAAGCATGTTCATGATGCTATATAACATAAATACCAAATATTTAAACTAGATCTTTAGAGAATTCAGAAATAACACATCTAACAGATTAAAGCGTTCCAAACAGCAACTAGAAGAGCCTCAACTAACTGGTCTTTTTTGCTATTCTTGTTTCCACGATTGGGGTGTAAGCAGGCACACGTTTTTCAATCTTCCTTTGGTATCTTGAACTCCTTCAAACTACAAGAGAACCAAAGGAAAAAATGTCCATGAGATTTTATCAATTTTTCCTCTCAAAAATCCTTACCAATAACCCCAAAAAAAGTCTCTCAAGTAATCTAACTGATAAATTAACTTACTGGATTATGTATATAGTTTAGGAAGTTATATTCCCACAATAGTTAGGTTTCCCAAAGCCAAAAACGTGAATAAATCGATTCGAGATAGTTTTCGCCGTCAGCAACACTAATTGGTCAACTAGTCCCAGAGCCCTTATAAACTCACTAGTTGACCGGTGGTGATACAAAACAAAGAGAAAAGTTACGTTACGGTCCACCAGTCTTCGTCACAAGTTGACCGGTAATATTCTGATTTCATGTTTTCTCAGTTTATTTAATACGAGAAACTCGCATAAATCCTCAGTTTTAATTCAAATAACCCAATGTATTAGTTACATGGTTAAAACAGTCATATAATAGCTTTCATATATTAAATAAAATAAAAATTATAATAATTCAACCAATTTGTCTTGAATTAATTTAACAATTAATTTGATCAATAAATTAATCATAAATTAATCACCGATCTCACATTTGACTTTGAATCTTTAGCGGAAATAACATAAGTTATCAATATTTAGGAAATATGCTGTATCATTACAACAAAGTATATGAGCTAGTAAAAGGACCCAATGGACATATATAGATCAAGCTCTTATAATCACAACAGTACTTGTTCACCAACAAGTTCATCACATGATTAAAAACTCTCGTGTTATTCCACTAAAAGTCTAGAGCTACACTTTCGATCTATACATAACCTAAACCTAGAGCTACAGTATATTCACAAAACTCCAATTAGCTATCGTCCATGACTTTTTATATTAGTGTATCTGTAACGCCCTCTAGAATTAAATATGTTTAATTATGCTAAACTGTAAATTATTAGTGTGCCTAATTTAATTTTCACAATTAATCAATGGACTTTAAATTATTTTTGGTATTTATAATTTCACCCCAAAGATTTTTGGAAAACACACTTAAATTTAATACATTTTCCCTTTTTCCATTTTTCTTTTAACTTTTCTTTTCTTTTTCTTTTTCTTTTTTTCTTTTCTTTTTTTTTCTTTTCCCCCTTTCCCTTCCCGTGCGCCCAACCCACTCATTTTTCTTTTTTTTTTCTTTTCTTTCTTCTTCTTTTTCTCTGGTTCTTCCCGTGCACCAGCCCATCTCTCTATCTCTCCATTTTCTTCCACCGCCGGCCACCTCCTTCTTCGGGCTTCCTTCCGCCGGCGTTCTCTCTCTCTCCGGATTTCTCTCTACCTCTCTCTTTCTCTCTCTTGGCAGTTTGGCCGTGAACCACCAAAAAAAAATGAAAAACAGATAAATTGAGGGAGACAAAGCTCGAGCAACTGATTTGAGGTAAAACCCTTTGAAACCCACTCTTTGATTCGAATTTTAAGCTTGAGAAAGTTTGATTTTGGTTAGATTTGAATAATTTTGAGTTAGGGTTCGAGTTTGAACAGTTATTATTGGAATCGAATGAAATTTGGGGGTTTTTAGTTATTGGACTTGTTTAATTGAATAGAAACTGATTTTGATGGATTCTGGAGAATATATATTGAAGTTGGACTTGAATTGCCGGTTTGGCATTTTTCCTATTTATGTCGGCATGCTGCCGAAATTTCTTTAGAAACTTGTTTTTTAAACTGAAATTAAATAGGAAAACCAAACCTATGGATTGGATTCTAATTTTTAAAGAACCCCCAAACTGAATTATAAAATCATTGTGAAACTTGGATTTGAGTCAAGGCACACTAATAGGAAACAATTAAACATGATTGAACTTAATTCGTTTTAGGAATGAGAAATACTTCCTAAGATAAGAGTTGTATTTCCTCTAATCCCTTATCTCAAGGCATGTATAAAAGATTATGGATTGTAAACTTAAATATTACTAGACTGTGGTTGATGTCACATTTACTCTTGTTTATATTCATGTATGCTAAACACATGTGGGAATTCCTGACATGATACCAGGGACGTGGTTTTAAACTGGTTTGGTTGGAAATTCCACCACCGTTCTTGAAATTAAATTC